AAGAAGCTGTAAATACCCCACAACACCGGCAGAAGTCTGCCTCCAAATCCGGGCGGCGCTCCACTGTATCCCAAATAGCCAGGATATAGGCTGACCGCGCACCAAGGTCAGCCCTTCGATCTTCGGCAGAAATCGTCGCCGGGTCCACGCCGCGGTGAGCCCTCCGCCACCTTCTCGACCCGGGGTTCCAAACCGCCGCAGTCGATCGGGTGATCCGAGGCATAGCGGGGCCCGGAAAAACAAATCCCTGCCCTGATCTTGAGCCAAAATGGCATCAAGATCAGGAGTTACCCCTATATGTTTCAAATCCCAAAATGTCCCTACCCAACCAACCATTCATTTTGGGAAGATAACACCTACCAAACAAGCTTGCTCAAAGACGTTTACGGTCATTCTCGGGGCATCTCGGGGGTTCCCCAAAATGGGTTCCGACTCGGCTCCGGCCCCCCCACTTTGAGACCCGAAGAGCTGCAACAGCCGTCACCGACTCGGTCAAGGGGCACCGCTCCCAAGAAGCGGCCGAGGGCGCGCAGCAGTTGCTACTATGGGCTCGAGCGCCACTTTTCACGCAGTCGCGGCAGCAGGTGTCGTAGCCACCCTTGGCCTGATTTAGGACTCTGCGATCACCAACGGTGAGGCAAACATGACCAAAACATATCAAGACCACTGTGATGACCACCTGATGGTCTGATTGGCCCTCTGGGGGATTGGCCGGGGGAAACCTCGCCAACGCGGCCACACTGAGCATCGAAGGCCATCCTGAGGCCGCAACGCAGGGTCTCCGGCAGCCCATTTTGCAGAAGGGTCCTGAAACAGGGGAAGCAGGAAGGGATCTTGAGCGGGCTGGGTACTCACCATCGAGTCATGGGCACAGCAATTCGTTGGTACACTGTGGTGTGTGAAGCTGCTTTTCGGAGAGAAATCGCTATTGATTGAATGACTTTCGTGATAGATACCTTCCAGTGGCCTGTATGAATTCACAGCAACTCTACCAAGACCCCAACACCAACTGCCTTGACCGTCCATGTCTATCGCCTCTGCATTCACTGCCATGGCAACTTTGGCTGAGCAGTGCTCCAGATGCAACTTCTCCGTCCCCACTGCCAGCTGATGCCGGGCTACAGGGAGCTGTCCGGGCTACAGGGAGCTGTCTCACAGATCCTAGCCTTTCGTGCAGCCGACTTGACATGACTTGACCGTCCACAAGAGTCAAGGGATTCTTTTTGGGTCGAGCTCGAGGATGTCGTTCAGTTTACACGGGAGTGAACGCTGATCTTCCCAGCTGTGTTGTTAGTAATCTATATATATATACAGTTATATAGTTATATAGTTATATGTTTTCTTTTGGCAATACCTGGTCCCCCCCAATTGGGTTCCAAACAACACATTTATTTCATACATTTTCATACTACGTATATATTTTTGATTGAGAATGTACTGTTCAACGCAAGCCTGACAGGGTTGCTGAACATGGTTTGCATTGTTTCCTGTCTGGCATCTTGAGCCCAGCAGCTTCTCGAGGTCAATCTTGCGACAGGGGACATTTAAACGCCTAAGAAGAACACATCTTAGTACCCTTTTGATGAACAATTGGGGACCTAACTCCCTTTGCTTCTGCTGCTGTGTCTCTTGTGTTGTTTCAAGACCTCCAAACGGGGCACCCGACTTCTTGGCTCTTTCCCTCTTGTAGAGCAAACGGTGAAACTCATCGCACGGATGATCCCACACCTCGGCGAACCACTCCGAGTCATGAGAACCGACCGCAGAACGGGCTGCTTGAGCAAGGGACGCTCTCGCCCGTTTCAAAGTTGAAGTAGAAGACCTCGTTCTCCTGGTGAACAGAATTGGTCACCACAAAACGAGTTGGCCAAAAGATCAGTGAAACTGCTCAAACAGGAGTGCCCCATGGATTTCTACTAATTTCATGGTTTTGAGGTAGGACTTTGTCAGTTGCCTGCTACAACTCATTCGAACATGGCTTCAAACCGACAGAACGCACTGTGCCTGTGGATTTTCCAAGGCTCCCACAAAGTCTTCGTTTTCCCCTGTGAAGCCCTGTTCGTGTGCTAAACTCGCTATAACATGGGAGGTCTATTCCCTTGACACGGGAGGCACCCCTTCTCACGTTTTGGACTTTTTTGAACCACCGCCATGAGAACATCCGGGCTGGGGCTTCCAATGATCTTCCCATAGCTCTCTCGCCCTCTCCTCCCCAGTGGTGCAAGGCTTCCAGGGTGCCGGCAACGGCACCTCATTTTAAGCAGAAACCGGCAACGTCGTTGGACCCGTTGGAAGCCAATAAGAGACGGTTGGAGATCCTTTAGTCACTAGTCTCCGACCAATGTGGGGCCAGCTTGAGATCCCTTTCCAAGTGGTTCAAACATGTTGGTAGGCAGAAACCGACCGCAGTGGGGGCGCATCTCCAAGTTGGAAGAGAGCTGGTCCAGAAACCGACCGCTGGCTAGCTGGCTAGCTGGCAAATGTGGAGGAGATCAGGTCACTCAGACTTTGGATCAGGTCGCTCAGACCCAACGCAGCTTTTCGACGACTGCAGCGCTAGGCATACCAGATCATACCAGGGGTTCCCTCTAACAGTTGTAACAAACACGTACAAAAAAAACAACCTCCAGTCCGGCTGCCCCCCCAACGCCAAGCGCGTGCTTTCTTCGCCTTGAGGCCAGCTCTTGCGATCCACATCAACTCTTGGTCACTTTCAGCATCCATTCCAAGCCTCGCGAAGTCGTCGGCAGCGAAGTCGGAATCCGCTTCGGGTTCAGCAGGCCTAGCTTCGTATGTAGCACCTACTGCAAGTAGTAGGACCATATACTACAGTGTAGACTAGTAGTAGGACCCTCTCTTTTCAGGACTGCCGCCTGTGGAACTGGAAGAATTCGCTTCGGTTTTTCCGGAGTTCAACGGTTGGCGGAGTGACCAACCACGTGTGTGGGTACCGCGGGTCTTCGTCTTCATTCGTCGAAGCGGCGCCCACACATCCGTCCTCATCCGGTCCACTTCAACAAAAACCCTTTCTCTTTCTGTCCAAAAGTGGCGCACCACTCGGCATAATCCAGAATCTCCTGCTCTGTCGGCTCATACTCCTGTTGTGACTCTGGTGAAATCGTAGTGGGATCTTGAGCTGAGTCACAAGGGGACATTTTGGAAGATCGATGTGTATCCAATATTGTTTGCTCAGCGGTATTTCAATTGTGCTAGTCTGTCATGAGTCATGATGGAGTGAGGGATCAAAAAAGAAAGTTTAAAGGATCACAAAAAACACAAAATAAACAAAAAGAAATCAACAAGCATCTAGGATCAACAAAATTCTACCCCCGGCTGTGCTGGAATGGCTCCTTCCTTCTCTAAATTGTTACCCTCAGGTGGCTCACCAAAGGTATGCTACGTTGGAGTTGCGTTTTTCTCCAACCACTCCAACGTAGTAAAAAACAATCTGCTCCAATGTAGGATGCAAGGTAATCTCTTCAAACACTTAGACATAATAAAGTAATAGAAATTGCTCCCAGCAATGCGCTGCATCATTTCAAGGCATGGGTTGGCTTTGCTTGGCCCACAAAATTGTACCCTCGGGTGGCTAATAAAAGGTGTGCTACGTTGCAATGGTTCTTTCCTGCTTCAGATTTTGTCCTCGATTGGCTCAGAAAAGTGTGCTACGTTGGAATGGTTTCTCCCCTCTCGAAATTTTACCCTCGGGTCGCTCACCAAAGTTATGCTACACTGGAAGGGCTGTTTCCTTCCTTCCTTCTTTCCTTCCTTTGTTTTCTTCCTTCCTTGAGTCCTCGAGTTGATTGTTTTTATTTTTGTTTTTACTTGTCCCATGTCATACGAGGAGACGATTCTTGTTCAAAAAATACTCCCTTGCATGCCGCATGCCTGCCTCAGTGGTTCTCACATGTTGGATACAAAGAACACCACTCTTATTGACGGAGGCTGAACACTTTGTCTGCCCGAAAAAAAACAAGGGGCGCCCGTCCGAATCCACATGCTCTTCCAGCACCACTGACCTGTGGCTGACATCAAAAGTTCAAAAGGCATGCACGGTCATATCACATCATTGCCCGACACTGACCATTAATTCATAAGTCTCACACATAAAAACACACGGTGAAGGCAAATCTTACCGATTAGAACTCCACCCCAGCTGGGGGTGTCCAGTCTGTACATTCTGGATCATTTTGGGGGGTTGAAAGATGTTGAAAGGCTACTTCTTTCCTTCCCTAGACCTCCAAGTACCTCCTCGGAATGTATTTGGACCTCCCCAAACCCACCCCAGTCCCACCTTCTCAGAAGGTTTAGGGCTTCCTTCCTTCCGAAATTGGGCGTCCCTTTCACCCACCACCGCCCACCACCGCGGCCACCCCGAAGGATCCCGAAGGGCCACGTCCAATCTCCATCTGAGGCATCGGCCGATTCTCGCTTGCCATGCTTTGGGGCGTCGATGGTGGCCCAAAGTCGCTGTGCTTGCGAAGAAGCTCTGCAAATGATCTCCAAAACAAGTGGGGACATTGGGAGAAATTTTGTTTAAGATTTAAGACTCAGACTCAGACCATTTGCCAAATGGAGGAACCCTCCATTTACTCGTACTTGTAAAGAAAAACATGGGGAGGTCTTGACCTGCAAATCTCCAAAAGACCAAATGGGTTTGCCATCAACAGCGACCACCAGGGGGTTCTCATGAAGCTTTCAAATGCCTTGCAAGCTTTCTATATCCTGACCTGGGCGACCGTCATGCTTGGGAATTCAGACATGCCCTCTGGTGAATTCAATGTATAATGATGTATAGTATATGGACCTCTCATGTGAAACTTGATCCGCGACACACACACACACACAACCAACCAAAACAAGACACAAAGGCCAGAGTTCAAGCATCATGCTCAGACCGCAGCGGCAAAACCCCATGCCACAGCGGCAAAACCGCGTCCGGCAGCAGCGGCTTCTTTACATCTCATCCGCCCTCTGAATGCCCTCTCACTCATCAGTCCTCAGACTCCTTCAAGCAAGGTTCGAACCTGCCAGAGGCTTGACCGACCAAATTCAATGGCCACGAAGAAGCCATCCGAGCCCTCTGTCCCTTCGAATCGGATTCGAAGTGCAGTGAAAAGCGAAGGAAAAGAACATAACAGAACTATTGAAATTGAACTGCACTTGATAAGAGTTCGCTGAACAGCAAGCCACATCGGTGAACGGTCCGGCCTGGTCCGGCGTGTGAGTCGTGATGCCCAAGTCCACAATCCCATTGTACAACTCTTCGTAGGAGGAAGCAATGAGCTTCGCCACCCCTCCACGTGCTTGATGTCTCAGATTGCTGTCCTCAATCCGCTCAAGGAGAGGAAGGGACAAAGCTCCTCCTAGAGTAAATAAGGAGTTGTAGAATGATCTGAGGGTTGCAGCAAGAGAGACCGGATGTAGCTCTGGCACGCCGCTCAGTGGCAGATCCGGAGGCTTCTCTCGAAGTGCTTTGAGGCGTTCAGAAAGACCCACTTTGGACAAGACTGCTTTGGCCTGTCCTTCCACAAATTTACTTAACTGATCTTGAACAAAGGCGTTGTACATCTCCTGGCGCTGCTTGGTAAACTCATGCTTCCGCAATGGAGTTTGCATCACGGAGACGCAATTCATCAAGAACACCTGGCCATCGGTGCTATCCATCATCGATGCAACCTGTTGGCAATGGTTCAACAAGGGGTCAAAAGCTGCAGACAAGACCGGAAGGAAGTCGGCTTCACGCTCACCCGCTGGCACTGGTGCCATCTCATAGATGGAGAGCACCTCTTGCAATGTGTTGGCAGCCTCCACCACAAACGAGGGTGCTGACAGAGCTGCGACATACACCGACGCAACTCCCTGGCGCAGTTTCTGCGCTTGCGCCTCCCAAAGGTCCAAGAACTCTTGGTAGGTGCGAGCATGCAAATCGACGCATGTCACCACCAGCTGTGCTTCCTTTCGAAGCAACTCCTCCAAGGTCTTCGCATAGAAGGAAAAGACCTGGGCGACCTTGTACACAGTGACTATGGCAGGGCTGGACGCTGAAGGACCATGCATCAACGAGCTGGTATTAGCTTGCAGCGATTGCTTGGTTTTGGCAACCAAAGTTGCAGCCACACCATCCAAAGCAATGTCAAACATCTCGTCAAAGCTAACCATGGTCATCCTTGAAGCGTGCTTGCAAATAGGTGATTCATCTTCGTGCCAAGATAGGTGCTTTATGATTTAACATCATGTCAGGTGTGTATATATATATATACTGTATTGCTGAATCGGACACCGGACATCATGCTTTTCTTTGATATCTATGTATATACTGTGACTGGCATCACGACCGAATTTCACCCAGCAACGAGCTCTCTTCGGGCATTGAAGACGATCTCTCCCTGACAGCACCCGGTTGGGCATCCTGCGGTGTGCAACACTGAAGAAGCCGTTGAAACTTTTTAGAGATAGTATGGTCCTCAAAGAGATAGCTATGAATATGTTTATCTAATTTTATCTACTGTGTCCCCAGTCTTGAACATGTCGACTCTAAACCTTAAACTGATATTGGGACCAGGCTGAATAGGTTCCGAGGCCGCGGCTGAATCCTTGCTGATAAGGCTGCCCAGCGCTTCCTTCTCGATCACTACCTCATTGTGTCCCAGCATACAGTGTCTCACAAAAGCAATCTAGTGCCCAACATACACGTAGCATCAAAACTCTTTTTGGCCCAAACACGCTGAACACTGTCTTGTAGGCAATAGAGAGGATTGTTACAGTATATAGAAACATATTGAACATACAAAATACAAATCCTGCCATATATCCTGCCTGTTGACCTGTTGTATCCTTTTGTCAAAAACCAGGGAACTTAACAAAGTGAAAAAAGAAAACATCATTGAAGTGTCAATACTCCCCAAAACAAGAGCCCTAACATCAGACCGCCAAGAGATGAGGGTGACAAGGCTCTACAGTCCTCTTACAGTAGTCAGTCTGGCTCGCCAAGCGACGTGCTCCAAAAGCCAGGCAAACATCTCACCAACGAAGCGCACCGGATCTGCAGCCTCACAGACGAGGTCATTCGCTTCCCCGAAGACCAAGGCTCCTGAGCCTGGACCTTTTTGTGATGTCATTGAAGCAGCGAAACCGGTCGGTTGGTGCTTCAACAGCTCAAGAAACACCCACAAATTGAGCTGAAATGTTTGGACTTCCAAAAGTCTTGGTGATGCCTGGTGTCATCTACTCAAATCTACTCTCTGTCCATCCCATCCCAATCGCTCCTGTAGCTCAATGGGCCGTGCACCCAAGGCATCGCCCTGGCTCAAGGCCTCAGCCCGTTGGCAGCGCCACACGGCCACCAACACGGCCACACGTGCCCGACGGACGAAAGCAGGAGTCGGCTTCGGCTCGGCTTCGGCTTCGGCGGCTCGGCCTCCAGAAAGCGCTGCTGCAGTGCCTGCTTCCTGAGGGTTTGATGGCCCCAGTAAGACCAGCGGGTCTGGTCCACGGTCCGGAGGATGCTCGGTTGGTTTGTAGAAGTCGGATGACAGCGGGGAAAGATCACAGGCTCCAGGCTTGAGCATTGCAGTTCCAACCCTAGGGGTCCGCATACCTGCTAGGTACGTACAGACCCTCCGTGCCTACATCAAAGCGTCTCCAATCACCTTCTCGGAGGGTATGTAGATCCATAGGGCAATGACACCCACGAAAAAACATGAGATGGACCGGCCTCACGCGTGCAATGTCGCGAAGACAATGGTTGAAGTAGACAGGTCTTTCGCGTAGCAGCCTCACCAATCGCTTGTGGCTCCAAAAAAACAATCGTATCATTCTGTCATATACCCCGCACATCATCATACAGTTTTGTCTACTTGAGGATGAAAATACAATCTTCACTTTTGAGATTTCTCGGCTTTCATAGACTTTGTCATGACAACACAGTTCTGACCTCGTAGTTTCTACTACCCTTATCTCTAGTTCCTCGGTTCAGATCGCCCTAGCCCTCGGACTCTAAGTCTCAGGCTTCAAGACTCGCTTCAGGACGTTCCCTGCAGGAGTGTCCAACTCTGCAGACCTCCAGCCGATGCATCGATGGGGCTCGTGTGGAGCCGCGCGTCCAAAACGAAGAAAGCGCTCCACACGGATCCGGCCCGGGGCCCGGGGCACATCGGGTCGCTCTGTCCCGTCCCCCCAATGGACGCATCGGATCCGTCTCGGCAGCTCGGATCGTGGGCGGGTTTCTTTGGGTTCAAAGCCTTTTTCTGTCCCATCCCAGTGAATGGGCAGCGAAGAGAAGGGGCAAGTGAGTGGGCACCCCTTTGGAAAGAGAGCAGGACGCTGTGAGCGTACACCTTTTTCTTGTTTCTCACATGCTGCTACCTCATGTCATGTGATAGAAGTTTACATTATATACTATACTTCTTTTAAACGTAGTCCTTTCTTTACAAGAACAACAACTTGAAAACAATGACATAACATATTAATACATTGTTATAGTCAAAAACATATTTATCTTATTATGGTTTGAAAAACATACTTTTTTCATTAGGATTGTGGTATTTAGGTAATGACATTGTAAACAAGTAAAATTGTTGTATTTCAATTTAAGTATCCAACGATACTATCTCTAAATGAATATTCATAAAATATATGTTCCTATTCTACCTTTTTAATTCTTATATTTATGACCATGTACAGTATATTGACTAGTATTCTGATAATATTCATTATTCTGAGCATGTTTGTTGCTTTCTATGTGTTTTTCAAACCACAGTTCATCAAACCACTGCTTAAATATGTTCATGTCTGTATTTTGATAAATAATAACAGGTAAGGTTTATTCAAGAGATTGTTCTTGACAGTGATGGATTGAACTGAACAAAGTACCAAATGTTAATTGTTCTTCAGTTAGTCCTTCAGGCTCATTATTTCGTGTGTCCATTGTCTTCATGCATCTATTACAAACATTAAAACTACAAACTACCTGCACAATATCATCTGAAAATAGTGTTTTTATATGGTTTGATTAGTTTGATTTTGTTTTCTATTGACCCTACAAGTTCTACAATTGTTTCGTTCATTTCTTAAAGCATCTCGCACAGAGAAAACCATTTATATCATTCTTTGCTCATTTAGATCCATTATTTATCTGTATAACTAAGGCTTCTCTAGCCACTTTGTACATGAACAGCTAGCAGTTAGTATAGTTTAGTAGTACATCTACAGCATTACGCAATATACAGTTATCGAATGTGTGTGTGCTATTTAATTATTAAACCTTTGCGCTGTCAAATCTGTCGATATGTGTTATTTACTAATGTTCAATGTAATCATAAAGCCACAACCGCTGTATTTACGATGATTTTTCATTTATTATCGATATAAACCATTGAGTATCACTATATATCCGACCGTCTTTAGTAAAACAATACAAAACAAACAAAAACAACAACACATCATACGTGTTTGCATGTCCTGAGCATGACACATCGCCTGTAGTACATAAACTCTAAGACACTTGGTAGAAGATGCAAACTCCAAAATAGTTTAAATAAACACCACCCAGTTGCAAACAGATACATCTTGCACCCAAATCCCACAAAAGGCTCCATACATGGCGCAATGCCGGGCGGCATGGCGCCTTGCGGCTGCTGCCTCGGTTTCCCTCCGCCATGTGCTGCCTGGGTCGCCCCACGTGCTCTTAGCCACTGCTGCGTCTCGTGGTCCGCGGCACTGTTGTTGGACCTGGGTCTCTGTGCGTGCCGTACCCCTCGGTGCCGCGGTGTCAGTCCGGCAGGTGAACTCCGGGGGGTGTCGGTAACCTGAGATGCTGGCCCAAACAAACATGCGCTCATAGGATGCCTCCACAGGGTGAGTTTCGTCTGACTGTTTCCAATCTGAGTATCGTCCAACTTGTCCTTTTTGCAAACTGAGAGGTGAATGATGGTGAATGCAAACCATGTGCGGTTTTCAAAAGCACCTCGAGAATTTCAGAGGTCTCATGCAGAATGTCCACCTCGGTGACTCACGGAGTGATCCGGAGTGGTCGCACCGGCGGCACCGACGCACGGCGCGCCGCTGGTGCTGAGGTTTCGACTCCTGAGGTCTGCTGACCGCTGGTGCTGAGCCTACATCTCTTGTGCTGAACAGTTGGGAGAGGTCCGTGACATGCGCTGACTGTTGACTCAGAATCAACAACATTGTTTGAAAAAAGGTCACAAACGTCTGTACTTGTGGATTGATGTGGATTGGCATTGAGCCATTGACAAGTCAAGAACCTGATGTCTAGAATTTATACAGTATTATGGCAGTGGCCCCATGCGGTGTGTCCATGTGTGTAAACAGCTGAAGCGCGTGTCGCTCGGGCTCCCACATGTGTCTAGCATTCGCTCGTACCTGCGCTGTTGGAGAATGTGGAAACACCTTGAGCACAGAACGCATCCCAACCTTACCAAATGGAAAAAGTCACTGAGGTACTTCAGCAACTGAAGATCTTGCACACCCTCGTGTTCCAAACAATCTGCAAAGTGCATTTTGGAGGCATGGTTTCAACTTGTGGGGGGTATGAATCAAGGCTAGCAGCCTCAAAAAAAGATCCGCTGCCTGAAAGCACACTAGCCTTAGCGATGTAGTGTCAAATACCGGTATGTATCATTCTAAAAAAAACATCTATCAATATCTATCATGAGAGGCTAGTAGGTAGGCTAGTAGGTATCATTCAGACTGTATCAAAATCTATCAATCATTCTGTATCATTTTGCAAGTAGTAACAAGTGCCTCGCTAGTAGTAACAAGTGCCTTACTAGTAGTAACAAAAAAGCTATTGCCTTTCAACGGGACGGTCCAAAAGGATGAACGGATGATGCTGCGCTTTTTTCGATCCGACCACACGGGGTTCCGACCACGCCCGGACCGGACCCCGGAACCGGTCTGACCCAGTCCGGTCTGGCGGAAGCGGTCTGGTCTGAAACCAGCGGTCCCTGGTTTGTAGAGGGTGGAGGGCTTCAGAAGACTCCAGTTGTTTGATGGTTGGATGGTCAACATATCATGGTTTATATAGGGGGGTGTATCAACATCTAGCCACCCGAACTGAGTGGTCCGATTGTTGTTTAAAGCAACACGAGGCTTGGAGATGTACCCTTTTTTCGGGCGATGGTGGCCAGCTTCAACAACCATAGAGATCCATAGAGATCCATAGAGTCTATGACTCTATTCATTGAACATCTTTCTCTAATGCTGTGCCATCACTCGAACCTCTGGCCGCGCCAGCTGGCCGCGCCAGCCGGCCGCCGTGCTCGCCCCCGCTCCGCTCCGCTCCGTCACCTGGACAACGGGAAGGATCGGCCTGCTCCAGGCGCTCGAAGGCGGAGAAGAAGTCATCATCCAAAGGCTTATCTCCAGACCGCACCAGCTGGGTATCTGCCTATCTCGAGAGCACAAACCGCAGGAAGTTGGCAGGGTAAGGCCCGGCATGGGGTTTGGTCATGCAAAAGATCGCGACATTGACGCGAACAAACATCTGACACGGGGCTCGTTTTCCCATGGTGCTGCTGTTACATGAATCCATCCCTTTCCCCCCCCAGAAAAGGAAGGATGTGTTCTCTTTTGCTTCAGGCGTCTCTAGTACAGTGGATATATATTATATATATATGGGCTTTTCTGCCATCCCTCGCGGTACGTCCAAAACGCTTGGGACCTCGCGGCGCGACCTGGACCTCTCCGCGTCACGCGGAAGCCCCGCCTCCGACAGGCGGAAGCGGTTCAGGAATCGGTCGAGGACCTGTCCGCTGGTCGACCGCTTGGGATCGGTCGACGGATTCCTCCGCTTCCGAACGGGACATGGAACCACTAGAACCAGACAAGACATACCGTGACATACCCCTTTGAATTAAGTGGGGGGGGGTGGGTACATCGATTTTGTAGTGGACATATCAAGGGGTATGACAAGACATTGACATAGATGACTGAATGCAATGATTGATGGTGCCCACATGAGACCTTTCTGCCTTCTGTAAGGCTTAGGAAGTTTCAGGAGTTTACCGAAGTGGGCAGGAGATGGCAGGAGATAAGTCATCAGCAATAGGCACAGAAGGTAAGCTACCTTAGAGAGCCTCAAAACAAGCCGATTGAAGAAAGACAGGTAAGGCAAGCACAAGGTTACGAAAAAAGGCAGCAAATGGAACAGCTGAGAAAAACACATTGAAAGAAGGCTGAATGCAGCTTTACAAGAAAACCCTGAGGCACTGCGTTTTTCTTCTGTTATCATTTGTTTTCTTCGCATCTTGTTCAGCGTTCTTTCATAGCCTCCTAGTGCCTAGCTTCATCAGTTTCGCATAGTTTCACCCGCATATCATGGGTGAAACCCATGCTATGCGCGATGTTCTTTGAGCTGTTCTCCAACTGTTCATCGCTTTTTGCCGCAGGCCGCAGGCCTGCTGCTTCAAGTTGATGGACACCGCCTCCTGTGTCGGATCGGCCCAGTCCGACATGACAAAGAAGCTTGCATATTGACCAAGGGATCAATAAGATGGATGGATCCAATGGATGGATGGAGGGAGGGAGGGAGGGATGGATGGATGTTCATGACTCTGTAACCTAAAGTCTGCAAAGACCACCAGAAGATGGTGCATAGACAAAAGCCCCTTGGGCCGTTTAAGGTCCCCAAAAACATGATTGACATTCAGCCTTCGTTCTAGAAGAACCGTCCTGTGAAAGTCGCCTGGGCTTGGGTAGATGAACACATTCCGTACATTTCTAGTGGATTGAGAGTAGATGGCACAGGGGCCCCCCAGTCGTGGTATATATGGAACTGGAATTCCCTCCTGAAGGACATCATGGTGTCTGTGCCATCTAATTACTCTGAAGCCACTGTCAAAAGCTCATGGCCCATGGCTTTTTTCACCTTCCCCAGTCATGGCCCCTCCCCCACGCCAGACAGGTGGACCTTCCCGAACACAGTTTCAGAAGGAATCGGTTCACCCATGACCCACAGCCGTAAAACCACAGCCGTTAAACCACAGCCGTTAAACCACAGTCCGTCAGGGCATGGAAAACCACACCAGGACTGGTCGACGTGTGACGTGTGAGGTCCGTGGTCCAGGACTGGTCCGCAGTCATCCTGACTGGTCGCAGGGGTCGGTCTCCTTGCGAAGTGCCGCGGCTCTTTCAAGGCTTGCCTGGCAAAGGAACTGGTTCTTCGAATTGCTTGGTTGTGGAGAGGAATCTATTCCAAACGACTCAAGGGTTCGAATTGTAATTCAACTGGAGCAGCTGAAGAGACGACATGTCAAGCATGAAACTTGCAAGAGTTTGCAAGAGTCAAGAAGTGCACTTCATTCCAATCCATATTCCAAACGTTTCAATCTCACTGTAAATCCTCCTACCTGATTCATCCCTTCCCCATTTGCTTGTATTGGCTTGTATGCACCAGCTTGCCTGAGTCTCTGATCTGCTGGCTTTCAGCTGGCTGGCAGCACGCTCCACTGCACCATCCTTTGCACACGCAGCAGCAAAAAGAAACGGCCGCCCCGCACCCGGTGGTGCCCTCAAAACGACCGGAGACCGACCTCTTCAAGGTATGGTCAAAGCTGTACATGGTGGTGTTTCCAAACACGGGGAGGAGGTGATGCCGTGGAAAGCACGGGGTGGAATTGCTACACTCAGCTCATATACTTGACCTTCCAACAACATTTCCGCAAAAAAACAACTCACGTTTTCGGTCACTGGCTACACAGTGTGAACTTGTCACTTTTGTATCACAAAAGATGCCAAACGCGTCTGGGAAATTAATCTCGTTGTAGGAAACTTGTTCCAACAAACCCACTTCCTGAGTGTCCGGCCAACTCTCCAACTAGGTGATCAAGACTCTCAAGCTGCCTTCAGACCAACTCTCACAATCATTGTGCTTTGTCTCAAGAATGAGAAGACCCCCGGGGCCCCCAGTCAAGACCAATCTTCAGAATTATGAGAGAACATGAGCGTCCATTGGCGTTCACACCATCCACTCCTCCATCCGAATTGATCCGTCAGACTTTCCGCTCTTTCCGCCGCCAGTGCAAGCCCGCTCTGTCCGCCTCTCAAGCGCCCCGAAGGATTGGACGAACTCCTTGAGTGGACCGAAGGACGGCCACCCGCGCGTCCGACACCTGCAGGCCACATCTATCGACACTTGCAAGCAGTTTTTCAGGATGAACAGAACACCCATGCCATGAAAGAGAGTTCAATAAGAATGAACATGTTTCTTGAACGCTTCTTCTTTGTTACCATTGCTGGACACCCCGAAAGCGCGCGGCATGTTATGTGGGTCCAGCAGTTTCATCCTGCTGTGGACCCGAAATGCAAGAAAGTCTTCGATCTCCAAAAAACAAACCGCCCCTGTCATGGCAACATCCAAACTTGCCCGCCCCTCAAAACACGTGATGTTTGGTCTCCGCAGTTTTTTTTTCAAAGCACCGAAACCAAAAGGGGCCCTGCAGCCCTGTTCAATGTGAGACGGGGTGTTCCGATTGGGCGTTTTTGCTGATCTTACTGCTCCTTGTGCAATAGCAAGCTCTCGCCCTCGATGGAGGAGCGCAAGTTCCTGGGTTGGCGGCCAGCAGTGGCCAGCAGGGCAAGGGTTCAATCCTTCAGTTCATGTTGTGCATTTACTTGAGGGGTCCACTATAACTATAATTAATCGTCGTGTCATTACCCAATTGGGGATATTTGGGGCAAAGAGGAAGGGATTCTTTGGTGCTACACGTTTGAAACCTGTACGGCATGCCAATCATGTTCATGCAGAAGTTTGCGGCCAAAGCTTGGAAGCTTTGCCATGCTTTCCGCCAGCAACCCACTTCAAAGAAAGCAGCTTTCGCCACAACTATTGCCAGGCCTCCCCAGAAAATCCAACATGGGAGAATCTCAACTGATGATGTCTCCTTTGCCGCCTGGATCGCCCTGAAAAAAACGAGTAGACTTGATGTGTGTGTGTGTGTTTAAATAAATATGTATAGATACATGCATACATGCATACATGCATTGCATTGCATTGCATTACATTAATACATAAATACATTAAACAACAAAGGAACTACATACATACATACATACATACATACATACATACATACATACATAC